TACGGTTCATTATCTCAAAATAGTGTTCCGAAGCACGGTACAGACTTTCAAAGTATGACAATACACGAAGCACACAGGTTTTTACTTATCAGGTATATTTTTTAAAAAATTCATTATCGAATAACACATTTCCCCGTATTCCTTGATATGTAAGTAAATTTTCTTTTTTTTCTTTAAAAAAAATAATGTACAAAAAAAATAAAACACAATTAATATGCCCGATTCGAAAGACGATATTCCACAATTCACATTGCAAATTACTTCATCCACTTTAATAAAGAACTCCATCTACGTGATAATCCAATTTGTGGCAAAATAAGCATATCGTGAGGTATCTCTTTTGGTTAAGGATGTTAAAAGATCGAATGGAATCGGCGATCATCATATAGTGCCACATCACCATTGGACATATTCCCTCTGATGACTCCCGATCAATAGACGTAATCTACGACCAATCACCTCTTCAGAAAACACCCCGTTCGTTAGGCAAGAGCGAGAATAGGTATGGGCGAGAGATGACAAGCAAGCGCAATCGTATGTTTGTAAGAATATTTGTCGTGACGCATTGTTTGGGATTAATAATTTTTTGAGATCCTATGTTTGAAGTATTATGTCCCACAGTATTAATATTATATACGTCATGTTGGGAAAATCATTATTATAGTGATCATGGAAAACAGTATTATATTATATACTTTGATGTATTACGTCAATATTGGAATTTATATTATTCACTCAGTATTTTACATTATGTATGTCATATTGGGAAAAATCATTATTATAGTGATTACGGATATCTTTGCAAATGATGTAAACGCTCTATTTTTAGATGGTTTTACGTAGCACCCTGATCATCAATGACATGTCTTTTGATATTACATTTGTTTTTTGCTTTTTTATGTATTTACAGTAGTAATTAAAATGTAAATTGTTCAACTTATCGTTACAAATTCGTTTATGTTATTTGAACACTTTACCCAACGATCGATTACATTTACTAAAATCATAAACACTTATCGCAGTATCTATTTTTGACAATAGAACTATGAAAAATTTAGAGAAACATTCTCTGTATTTTACGCTCTGACGTTGTTAGTTAAATGTTGTTTATTTCCGGTAGTTCTCAAGTTCTTACATATTTTTCGGGAGGCAATTTCACATATAGGTGGGAAAAAAATTAGTAACTGCGGGGGGGGTTAGAGATGATCGTTTGCATATGTCATATTGTTCCTTATTTTAGAAATTACCACGCGACCTTTATCGAGATAAGATGTTGTATGCTGCGCACTTGAAAAAATTCTTTATAAATACGAGTAACTTCGTCTAGCATTTTTGTTTTTTAATTACAAGTTTGAATTATAAATAAACTTGACTTGTTCGCTTTTTTGATTTTACGAACTATAACAAAATATTATAAAGAAACACAAATGTCATCTGCCGACGCAAAAACTCCTATTAAAAGCACGTCAGCGGCAAGTTCCTCAACAACCAATATAGTTTTATGTCACTGTAAAAAACCAGCGGTTAAATTTCAAGTCAAGAGGGATATGCGAAATAAAGGTCGTTGGTATTACAGGTGCTATAATGCAGGAGCCGGAACAACTTGTAATTTTTATAAATGGGAGGATGAACTGGAAACTGATCTTACAAAATCGCCTACTGTTTCCGCCGGCTCTGCTAACACTTCTGGATCAATGACAAATGATCCATTGATTCCTCCACCATATTCTCCTCGTCAAGAACGACGACTTCAGCATACTCGAGGAGAAGATGAAGAATTCTGGACAACCGCACCAGAAGGGTCAATCAACAATCTCTTTATGCAGAATCCTTCGTCAGCACATTTTTTCGAGAATGATCCAATCACAACTAATGAATCAATTCCTCCTTCACCTTCACCAGCCCCGGATTCGATAAAGACGTTAAAAGAGAGGTTAGCAAGAGAGGAACGACGGGCTCGCGCTTTTGAGCAAAGTGCCAAATTCAAAGCTAATTTACTAGCAGAAACAAAGGCGCGATTGGTATCGGTTGAAAATGAAAATGAGATGCTAAAAAGTCGATTGGAGATGACGGAGAACGAAAATAAAAACTTAAAGAGGAAGTTGAAGGAAACTGAACAATTAGAGGAGGAAAATCGGTATTTGAAGAGGAGGTTGCTGGAATTGGAGAAGGGAGAAGGGCCCTCAGCATTAGCATCATCACCACCTCCATCCTCGAAGGTTGATAATCCAGATGAAGAACCATCTGATTTCTTCGAATTCAGATTCTCTTCAGCAGATGAGTTATCTGATTTCGAAGAAATCAGATTCTCTTCAGCAGATGAAGAACTACCTTCATCTGGAAGAACAACCGTCGGGGATGGAGAACCATCCACAATAACAAATTTTGAAACACCAACTGTTGCTGGATCCGTGGTAATAACATCCACAACAATTACCACTGTAACAACTACGATAAATGCCACATTTACCAGATTGGTAAATACATACACTAGGACGACAACAAAAAATGCTGGAATGACTTGGGAATACAGATAAAAAACTATTCCAGCTATCGAATTCTAGTAAAATAACCTTGGGGATTTCTCTGATCCAGATAAACCTGAGCCTCTCGATCCAATTTATCTCATGAACATTTAGAGGATCATAGTTTTTATGTTGGATTATTGTGGACGTGTTCCTCGACGCCTGACGAAAAGGACATCTGAAAGAAATGAAGGGAGTTATCGACATGGGATTAGTACTCGAACTATAATATATTGATCAAGCTCTCTCTGTCATACCTTTTGTCTTGGGCTAAACCCACTGATAATATTTGATGTCCGCAACAACGAATGAAAGAATATCATAAATACGACAAAGATTTCACTCCATGGACAAATCCAAGGTGTGATATGCCTAATAATACTTTGAAAAATCTCAGAAGAGCTACATGAAGATTGGTGGTCTAAAATGGAGATATAATCGACTTTGGGGATAATTTTATAGACCCTACGACTGATGTAGGATAGGTCGATATTGTGGATACTGAGCTCCTGCATGCGAAATGTACGGAATCAAGGGACATTGCTCGACGAAGTATTTCTGCACCTACTTTGAACAGTGTACACATATGTTCAATCATGAGAGATGGTGAAAGAATAAAAGGGAACGATTAAGTTTCGCGATACTGGAAACTTTAACAACATTGAACAATGAATGCAACGAAATAGGAAAAGTAATTTTAGCAAGATACATCACCGAATCCGATGTGAAAGAAGAGATAGAT